ACTCACAGTAGACCTCTGAGGACGAATATGTTTATGAGTGACTGCGTTACGTGCCATTAACCTTCAGGAGAAACTGACTGAGCAGAATGACATATAAGACCAAGCAAACAAATGTCTGGGTCTGGACACTGACTCAGTGAGAGCAGAGACAGACAGAGAGAAAAGATACTGGAGTAGTCTGTGGGTGGAGGAAATGAGACATCCTGGACAAACGCTGGAGTAATGACCTCACTATGCTGGGGCGAATTTGGATGTACAGTATAACAGGCTGAAAGCTGTGTGCCTGTTTAGTTAATTTAAGCCACTATTTGTATCATTTTGTTGTAGGGTACACTTAAATAAATGTGAAATACTTAAGTTAAGGCTTAGGTCCAATTTTTTTTTTGTTTTTTTTGTTTTTTTTTTTTGTATTTGTATTTTCGGCTTACTTTATGACTGCTTTCAAGAAGGATGAAAATGCATGGTATGAGAGCAGAGATTCTTGGCCCCTGGATTTTTATCTTCTGCTTAAAAGTGACCTGCTGCTCCTGTAGCCCCATCAAAAGGTGATTTTCAAAACAGCTGCTTCGAGTTCCCTCAAATCCTTTGGGTTTCACCAGTCAGACACAGACCATTAGACCACAGGTCCATGTCTATTGTTCTGAGCTCCTGTGGAGCACAAGCCTGGGAGCTATCTGGGGTTTTGGGTGGCTTGTGCGTGCTTTAGTGGGATCGCAGTGCAACTGTGGAACAAAGAGGGAGGTATGAAACTGATATGCCCCTCAGTGATAAACAAACAGCCATGGCTTCACACACTCACTTGTCTCCTCCCTCTCACTTTAACTTCACCTCCCCTGTGCAAACCTTTTCTTGACTCCTGCATCATCCTTAACGTGACCCCCTGCCCTGAAGGGGGAAATCCGCTGAGCTTAGATCAGTACAGGGGGACGACACAGACCCCAGTCTTTTAGTTTGACCTCCTTTAACCCATGATTCGCCAATGATATAGTCAAAGGTCATGGAAAAAGAGTTTGAGAGCTGTAAATGAATGATTAATCGTGACTGTAATTAATCAGGATTATTGCGACCAGAACAACCCTAAATATGTTTCTGTGTATAACGAATAACAGTGAGTGCCTGAATGTGTTTAACATGTATTTGATTTGTAATAGATCCAAATTATGTAAATATTATAAATCAAAATGCTAATTAATTGAACTGGTGGCTTTTAAAGAATTACTGGGTGTTGAGATGGTATTTTAAGCTTGAGGTTTTCCATATCCTGTGAAATACTGTGTTGACTGTGTATCAGAGCCGCAATAAGTCGATGGACAGAGGAATTGTTAGATAAACATTAACGTAATTCTGCTCATGCATGAAGTTGTTTCAAAAATGTAATTGATTAATTACATAAATACATAAACATTTTCACTTCGAGAGCCTAAGTGAAAATATAAACACTGCACACAATGTTTTGCTTGGTTGACATCTTTTATTTCTCAGACCAACCGCTTCTCATCTGTTCCTCTTCACAGATTTGAAGAAGGACTGGTCAGACCACGCACTATGGTGGGAGAAGAAGAAGACATGGCTCCTGAAAACCCACTGGACGTTGGACAAGTACGGCATTCAAGCCGACGCCAGGCTGCTCTTCACTCCTCAGCACAAGCTGCTGCGTCTCCAGCTGCCCAATATGAAGCACATGAAGGTCAAGGTCAACTTCTCGGACCGCGTCTTCAAGGCCGTGTCAGACATCTGCAAAACTTTCAGTAAGTGCATCATTCACATGACGGCACCAAGGGCGGTGTTCGTCATATTTTTTGTGGTGATGTGGAAAACAGAAGACGAGGTATGACCGACAGGCAATGAATTATGGGTGGAAAACCCCTGAGTGTGAAGCAGTTCAACTGAAGGTGCCCCCGTACTGCACTAAAACCTCCACCTAAATCAAACTGAGCCAATACCCTTTGTCTGACTTTGGTTTTATGTTGGACAAGTTGTTGTGTATATAAAACTCTGTCTGTCCCAGTGTCATCACTCTAATACACTGAGACTGAGAGGCAGCAAAAAACATACAGTGGAACCTCGAGATACGAGCATAATCTGTTCCCGGAGCGAGCTTGTAACTCGTAGTGCTCGTATCGCGAATCATTTTTTCGCATAAGACCATCCAGCCATCCATTTTTCATCCACAGCACACTAGCCGTAGAATCCTGATTTTCGGGGAAAACGTGCTCGGCCAAAGTACGATGGCCCTACTGTCAGTGCACCCTAAGATTGACAGAATGACCCTTAGCTTTTTGTAAATCCCTGTAATAAGACTAGAACTAAAGCAATGGTTATACTGTAGATCTCCATATGTTTAGCATCTGAGCCTATGGAAAAAAAAAGGTGACCTTCTCATTGCGTTTGACACTGTAGTGACACCTGACAGCTTTTTCTCAGGAAGTTAGGTCTTGCTGGCACTTTTAAAATACTATTATTTATTAAAACCAGTTGAGTGTAACTTTTTCCCGGGGCTTCCCTTTGCAACCATACCCTGCAATAAAATAGCCTCATCTATTATTTCTGAACAGTGTGTGGGCCTACAGCAGAGTACATGTATCGATTGGCAAGTAAAGATTCCTTCCACTGTCGTCAACCTACCATCTCTGCTCCTAAAGACACTTCCAGATTTAACTGTCCCCCATGGTGTAAGCAATACTGAAGGACACACACTCAATCGATACCTTCCATTACCAGCACCACGGAGTTCTGTCAGAGGTCACGCACTGTAGAGCCCTCTGACCCCTAACCTGCTAACACCCACTTTCCGATGCTCAGCCTGACTTGTAGACACCGTCTGCAGGTTGGAAGAAACGCCCACAAACAAAAATTACCACATTACCAAGAGTAAAGGCACACCTGTTGTTAATAGTCAGTGTGGGTTATAGTAGCAGACAGTGGAGGAGCTCTGAACTACACCAAAGTGTATGGGCAGCTGGCGCAGCTTATATACAGCTGGTGTTGCCTGCAAGCAGTTAATTTTTTTTTTGTTATCTGGACAACTTGGAGATTTACAATTTCCCGTGCACATTTGTCTTTTTGCTGACGGTCTGTGAGCTGTGCAGCACACAGAATCAGGTGACAGGAAGAGGCAGGACTATCCTCGCTGGCCTTTGCTCCAGACAGCATGACGCAAGAAGCAGAGATGCTGGATATACCATGTTTTTAGAGGCATCTGTGGTTAAATATTGTCCTAGCGTTTAGTGGCACAGATGCTTTTTACTGTTCCTCAGACTCTGGCTGTTAGCCTCTATGTTTTCTCCTTTAGATTTATAATAACAGTCTTATACAGTAGGGGAAAAACATATAAATCAACCCAACACTGTCCAGATTAAAGCATAAAACCAATTATCAGTGTTGAACTGCTCCTACAGACATGGCAGCTGTGTGCAGACTCGGACACGGTGCATCTGGACTGGCTGGGAACGGGAGAACTCTGCAAAAGGTCGATGCTCTGTGACTAATGAAAATCACTCAGTTAAACTCCCCTGTTGACCTTTGCTTCAGTTTCAAAACCTTCCATCCTTTAGCCAACTTAATATAAGGAGAAAGATATGCCATGAAATTAAATTCTCATGAAATTCTCAGTATAGATACAGTAGTAATCAACTCATTGTATCACTTGTGATCAGTCTGTTCTACCTTCCCAGGGAATAGTTAACTTTGAGCTTGTTCTGTCTAGACCATGAGGACACTCTCTCTCTCTCTCTGTCTGTTTCTCAGTCTCTCTCTCTCCCTCTCTCTCTTTAAAGGAAGACTACTTTATTTTTCCAATGAGCCAGCGCACAAAATGTTTTCTTCACAACTTGCACATGACTTTGGACCTGGGAGCGTGAGGCCGCTGCTCTCAGCAAAGCACCACTTTAGTGTAACAAGAATCAGGCTGTTCCACTTAAACACTGTGTTGTTAAGTAAGCATCTGCTATGTGGGAAAACTATACCAGTGAAAAACCGTTCAGCTACATTACTCTAAGTACCCTGAGACATCAGATGATGGCGAGGACAGAGTGATGATTTGGCGGAAAAGGTAGTGTTCTACACGTCAGTATTGCAGGAGTAGAGGATGATGAATTGGAGTACAGAATTTGCAGTTAGTGAAGTATTTAGTCAGGAAACGTTTTGAATGGTGTGGCACTACTGCTTCATAGTTCTGGTCCAGCAGATTTATGGCTCATCATCCTGTGGTCAGGCTGACTGGTCTGGGTGACTGTTGTCATAACACAGGAGGGGTGCGGTATGGTTCTGATTTCCTACTCTAAAATTACATAGCATTATTATCCTTTCAAAATGCACTTTTAACAACTCTTCAGCCTGCCTCTCAATGGAAAAGGAAACTTTTCAGGTCATTAATATCAATGTTGAGTGGTTCGACTTTACTGAGCAACATTTGCTCCTTGAAGAAAGTGTGTATACAGTACCAGGAACTATTGATATGGTGGAAACCCCTGCCTCCCTTCAGTTTGTTGGACATAATAGAAGCACAAGCGAGAATTGTTTGTTGGACATAATAGAAGCACAAGCCTACAGAAGGAACTTCTAATAGAGACAAGCGAGAATCACAGAAGTTATAAATAAAGGTAAAAGAATGAATTATGTCATTCATTTGTGACAGATCTCAGTGTAAGAGATCGTCTGATTCTGGTCGTCTGATTTTAGTTAAGCATTTAGGTACGGGGTCTGCAACCTTCCGCACAAAACAAGTATTTGATTTTATTTTTTTACCACCAAAATACATTCAAACGGATGTAATTGTGGAGGGTTTGAAGTTTTAAGTATTGGAGTGATGCTACAGGATTTCCATAAAAGTAAAAGTTTCAATTAATGTGAACAGTGATGCTACAGGATTTCCATAAAAGTTTCAATTAATGTGAATGAAATGTGACACTGTTGTTTCTTAACAGGAAGCTAAACATTTGTTGCAACTTTTGAACACTTTGAATTCATACATGAGTTATTAATACCTCTAAATATACTAGCTGTTCTCAGTGTAACAGTCATAACAAAAACATTATTTGCATACAGTGTTGTGCCATCCCTTTGAAAATGGAGAAGATAAAATATACATTTGCATTTTCAGCCTCTTTTGTGTTTCCACCGAAACTGTTTTAGTTTTGGTGTTAAAGTAACTCTTCACTAAACTCACTTTAAATGCCCAAAAACCCAAATGTATTAAAGGTAACATCAGCTGCTTTCTGTGAAATATCAATCTTCAATCTTCACCGTTATGTGTTTATGTAGAACTTCAACTTCACGTCTGTCAAGTGTTAGCCTGGCTTCCATTCTGGTAAAGACTATTGATCCGTCCTTCAAGTGAAAACACTCCTCTTGGATTCTTTCTGTCCATGTAGGGTCTCAGTCTGTTTGGACTGTAAATCGTAGTGCTGTAAAATTAGACCGTGATGGTGTTTGTGATTCTTCTGTGGCTGGTCTTACTCACTGCACTGAATCATGTGTTCCGAGGAGTAGGACTCTCAAAGCTCCAGCTGGCTCTCATTCAAACCCCACTCCTCTGGCTGCGGGCCTGGAGATTGCAGGATGGAAGATTGGGGGTCTTATTGTGCAAAGTGTCATTTGTGCAGTGGAATCCAACCAGGCTTTGTAAGCACTCAAACCATCAGTCATCCGACCTCCTCATCCTGACACTGGCCACAAGCACGCCATGTGTGCAGCGGCAGTCTCTCCTGCCACGATTCCTAAATTATCTCTGTAAACATACAATTCAAAATTTAACTGAGTATGTCAGCAGAAATACACAGATCTGCTGCCAGACAAGTAGTACTGCAGATTTTATAAATACTATATTTTCCCTTAAGCCAACATGTCTTGTCTGACTGAAGCTGTGACGGACCGTATACAGTGCACTACTTTGTTGCTCATAATATGAATTGATCATTAAAGGGTTATTGCTCCCTGTACTCGTACCTGTGCTGCCTGTGTTGAAGCAGCAGTCAGAGATAGCCCTACTCTGCATATGTCATGTTAGTTAAACCAACAAGACACAAGCATGTGATGTAGACACTGTATTTATTTACATTTTATTTTTCATCAACAAATGACTGAGTTTTGATTGGGCATAAAAACTTTATTTTTTAAATACAAGATGATTTTTAATCATTGTTGTAGTTTTTTTCTGTAGTTTAACCTTTCTTTTCAATGATGATGTGATGTGATAATAATTTGAGCCTGAAACCTTTTTTTAATATTCTTTTATTTTTCTTCTGTTTTCTGAATGAGAGATCCATTGTGTTAACTACACCTTCACTCTCTGTGGGTCTGGTAGTGAGGACAGCGTATCTGTCCCGTCCTTTTACCCCACCTACTCTATTCCCATGCCTTCTGAGAAACAGCAGTGCCGTTAAGAACAGCTGTCATTTCATTTTCTTCACCGAATGAAAACCCTAAACTCTCAAAGTATAAAAGTCTTTCTTTGATTTATAGAGGGTTATTACATTTTCCATTTGAATGGTTAACTTTTGATATCACTTTTATTACTGCGTATCACACAATTCTTGCTCAATATAGTGTAGAGCTAATATTTCCACTATGTGGTAACATACCACATCATGAGGCAGGATTCCTGCATGTGTACACACTTTCATACACACTCCGAGTGCGTACATGTGAGTTGTCATGCACATCTCAGTGAGTCCAACGCTCGGCAGCACGCCTGCATCTCACATGGCTGTATAAGGGCACAGGGATTGTGCTCCACCTTTGCAAGAGATAGGGAGGAGGGAGTCCATGAGAGAGGGGAGGAGAGGAGGGGAGAGGACAGAAGAGGAGAGGAAAGGAGAGAGGAGAGGCTGAGCCTCCATCTGGTAGTTCTTAAAGCTCCTGGAATGCTTTTGCTTTAGTTACAAAAACCAAACAAGCTTTCTCACCAAGCCAAGACATTTGCTCTCCCCTTGTGTTTCCCCCTCACCCTCTGCAACCTTCTTTAATTGTCATACAACACCTTGAAACAAATCTCTTCTTTATAAAACTAAGTGAAAATGAAATAATTCTCAGACAACGACTCGACTTGCTTTGGAATCCAGGAAGAAAAAGTAAATCCAGATGAGAATCCAGATGTGCTTACATCTAGACTATAGATCCATGCCTGACACAACTCCCCTTTTCTCCCCCTTTAGATGAGAACCATTCTAGAGCCATCTTTTAAAACATTGCTACTATGAGTGATGATGAACTGCTCTCAAAGCTCAAGGGGAATGAGGAAAAGAAGCTGAGAGAGGGAGAGAGGCCTCTCTGTTTTTGTCATTATATGTAGTGTGTTATCTCACCACTGATCAGGATCACACACAGAGACCTGCTTTTTGGACATACATACAGAGTTAGGATGTTAATGTTTATGTAACTTTTAGGCTTCTATTACCATTAAGGTTTTTTACAGTGGAAGTTGCTAACTTTTTCTTAACTTTTTTTGACATTTCTTATTTTTATTGTTGCAAGATAAGTTTGTGTTTAAATGATGGGGTTCTCTCATGTTCTGCAAAATCTGGAAATGCGATCACGAATGACCAAGTGTTTTGTCAAGGAAAACATATATGTATGTAAACACATTGTTTCTTCTCCTTGCGTCTCACTGCACTGTAATTAAGGTGTTGATCTTTGTCATCTTTTGAAAGGTAAAAAAATCTGGGAAAATGCAAGGTACAACTGTAGATGTCTCTGTTTACTGCATTAAAACGACAAGGGATTAGTACAATGTACATGTACCCGAACTGATATGAACTCAAGTAACCTTTCCTTCTCTACCTCCAGATATCCGTCACCCGGAGGAGTTGTCTCTACTACGTAAACCTCGTGATCCCAAGAAGAAAAAGAAAAAGTTGGAAGAAATAGAGGAAGATGACCTTGAGCTGGAGGGTCCACTGTTGACCCCTGGATCAGGTGAGTCAGCAAAAAGCATTCAAAGCTGACGCTTTAAATTTCAATATAAATGTTTTGAACAAACAAATGGTAGCAAATAGGAAAAAAAAGTTTCAATTCTTTTCAGTTAGTATGTTCAAAACTCTTATCAAAACAAGTGGATATGAGTTTTATTTCCATGTTTTGTTGCGACGCACTATTTAATTTCCCAGAAGCAGCAGGCTAAATGACAGGTTTAACAAAATGCGACAGAGCATCATCTTATTATTTTCTCTGCGCTTGCGGGTTGACACACCACTAAGATAACGGCCGCACTGCGCCTGTAACGACCAAATATGAAAGTGCGAGTTTAAAGACTGCAGCCAAAGCTCAACAGTTTCTTGGCAGGGAAAAAGGGTTCAGATTCCACACATACTTGGTCACGCTGCCATTTTGCACCCAAACCAGGATACGGCCAACATCTACACCAGCGCTCTGCCCTGCTCCATAGATAGATAGATGAGTGATGGGAGAGTTATGGCCATGTGAGCGGAGGAGGAACAGAACAAACCAGAGTACACTGCTGTCACAAGAGTTAGCAATGAGCAAAACCGCTAATACCGTGAAACGGAGTGAATGGGACTCATTGTCTGCTTGGCTTTTAACCCCCATCTTTAGACTCATCTCTTTATGCGTATTGACATTTAAGTGCGTGGGAAAAAGAGCAAATACAGTTTTGTAAAATAAGTAAGTAAGTTACAGCAACTTTGTAATAGTGGGTAGATCAGAAATGGTTAAATGATTTGACTTTTAATACTCTGTAGAAAAGCAACATTTTGTCGTTTTTATGACGACGGCACAGAGGTGTCGCACCCACGGTTGCATCACTGCATTTCATGGGTGTGCTTGAGAACTCGAGGCTGTGGAAATAATGGATTTATGATTTTCCCACTGGGCAACTGTGGTCTCAGTCTGAGGTGGTGCAGAGAAATTAGTTTCATCAGGAATGCGAGGAATCTGTTAACTGTCACTGAACTCCTTCTCAGTGTCACAGACATTTCCTGTCAGAACGGTCACATGCTGCGGTCAGAAAACAAACTCGAGGCTAATTTTTAAAGACCTTAATTGTACCCTACGAGGAAGTGCTGATGCATTTGACCTTGTCTTTGATCAGAATTTATTTAAACAAACAGTTATATTGTTACAGACCTGTGCAAGGAAATTCTGTCTGTCAGGGCATCGTTTAAGTTTGCAGTTGGCAGTTTGACATGAATGTAATGTCAAGGACACATTGCAGAAAGTGTGTGCTCCCAAAACAAGCAGAGGAGGGAAACGAGGTAAAAACCAAAAAAATCACCGGATCTTTTGGAAGCAGAAGGTCATCACTGACGTCACGGCCTATGTGAGAGATAATTGAATTTATAATGTGATCCTAATCCAAAGTATGCCTTGTTCTGCCTGGGTTTGACCTTTGGTTCGAAAATAGTGAATTGTAAATGTGGATGGAACACATGAGAGGTTGTTCCTCTTGCGGAACTCGTCTGAATAAATACATAATAAATCTCTAAATCTAGATTAAAAAAAAAAGTTATAAATATTCTTGTTGCTGTTATGATTTATTTCTAAACACAACAAAACAGTATGAAAAAAGAGCTTTGGGTGGATGTTGAAACTCTACATGAACATTTATTTCCACTCAGACTTGGAAATGTTTTATTTTTTTTTTCCTCCTTAACCACAATCTCCATTTTTAAATTAACCACTGCGGAAACTTCTCATCTTCCTGCTCACTCGTGTCAGTTTCACCACAGACAAGGTCATTTTGGTAAAAAAAAAGTGTTACTAATTCTCTGTTGTTGTTGCTATGAGCGCCATGGTGTTGCTTCTGCTCTTCTTCTTCTTCTTCCTCTTCGTCTTCTGTCAACATTGGACGATGTATCTCTGTCCATTGAGTCTTTCCTTCAGTGTTGTGTGCACTACTGGGTCACACTGACCAAATTCTGCTGTGGATCATCTAGAGGCCTGGGTCGATAATAGTTTGCTGGACGATATATTGTCCCACTAATTATTGTACGATAAACGATAATATTGTCAACATTATTTTAACCGCTAAAGTAAGTACACTGATTTCCGATGATATTTGAATGCTTCGCGCATTTCCTGTGGTGCACATGAAATTTAGGTCGGCAAAATGATTGACTTAATTTTCATTTATCGTGCGATCAATGGACCTGTTGATTATCGGCCCCAGACTAATTGTCAATTAGGTTGGCTCATTTGGGTGGTATGCTAATGGGTGGGTGTTAATGACAGGCCTCCACCAGCCCTGGGTACCCTCCCTCTTCAGAGTGGGTAAACTGAATCATCCACTCAGAAGCAGGCAGTTGGCATCCTTGTATTTCTCTATATTTTTTTCTTTCTGTTACCTCCCCTCCTTGTAGGAGACTCTTTGTCTTAAATCTGTCTTCTTGATGTTTTTTTTCCATTACATTTCTTTTTTTTTTTCCCCCCCTTTTCTCTTCCCCTCCTAGACTCTGAGGTTATTTACATCGGACCTGTTAAAGGTAAGCTGTCCTTTCCTCTCCTCTTCACTCTTCGATATTGCTTCCTCACCCTGTGCCTCCCCACTGCTTACCCTTACCCTTCACATCCACACTGCCGGAGTGTTGACAACAAATGGTGTTTGTAACATCCAGGACAAACAGCTGAGTCGCCTGACACCGACTCCTCTAGAGGACATCAGCTGATGTACACGTCACAGTGAGGTCAATTTCCCAGGTCATTTACAAATTAATACAGTTGTATGGGTTGTACATTTCTAGAAAGATTGATATACTTAAATAAAAGGCACGCTTTATAAATATACCTAAATATGTATATCCCTGGATGTTCAAGGTATATCAGGTCCACAGATAGAGGTCAACTGAATTACATGGGATCTGCATCTACATGAAGATCCTTTTGATATGAGAGCTTATATTGGACATTTAGAGACCTATTCTCATACAAAACAATGTTATTTCAGGGAATTCCATAATAAATATGTATATCCCTGGATGTTCAAGTTATATCAGGTCCACAGATAAAGGTCAACTGAATTACATTTCAATAGAACCTTAACCTACCTTTTAAATCTGTAATAAAGGAAATGTCGTAGTTAAAGGTTTACTGGGCCTGCAGTCCAGATTTCTATAAATGTTTGTGTGAAAAACAATTTAGTTTAGTTAGGTCAGATGAACGAAAATGGTTCATGGTTAATTAAACTTTCACCAAGGGTACCAACTTGTTGGAAACCACATTTGTACATACATGTTACATATGTTGCCAGTAGCCCACAAAGAACCTTTTGTAAACCTTCAAAATCACCAGAGACACTGGAGTTGGACATAAACAGTTCTTGGTGGTCCCGCTCCTTTTCCCCTAAGCCTTCAACAAATCCCCAGTGAAGGGGCTTTGAGGAGTCAAGACATGTTGATATTCTTTGTGTCTACTTGCTTGTATTGTGGCGTCAGTAAACAGGAAAGAGGAGGACTGCTGGTGTTTTTAATGGGCTGCCAGC